TTTTCAAAATCTGGGTTTTAAAAAGTGTTGAAAAATGCAATTTTTGTTTAACATTGCGCTCTATGTAATTGTTCTAAAAATAGCTATTTTTGAAAAAAATTCGTACAAGTTTCTCAAAATACATCACTGTAACACACAAAAGAATGCTATTTCAATATGCTATATGAATCTAGTAAACAATTTTAAGATTTTTATAATGGTATGTTCTTTCTTTTTTCAACATGACTAAACAAGTTGTAATTGGCAATTAAATGATGTGGTATTGCATATAATTTTGAGTGTAGTTAATTAAATATTAATATAAAAAGTGTATTGATAGGCAGTTGTCATGCATGGTTGCACTGTCAGTTACACTTATAGCACCATCTGTGCTAGCAAGATATCATTGCTAATTAATTTTTCACTTTACTCAGTTCACAGGTTGAATGTTATTCTTAGTCAATATCAAGAAAAATATCTGACATTAGATGAAGATGACAAGGTAGGCTGTGATTTATTTGTCAACCATTATTACTTATTTTGTCTATATTGTTTTACTTGCACAAAAATAGGGTGATATCTTGGGCTAATATTTATGTTTTTAATTTCAGAATAGAGGAGTGTTCTCTTCATCAGATCCACTTCCACCATGGCTTACAAATAAAGGGTATACTCAGTTACTTATAATTACATAACAATTATATTCTTGTGATTTATCCTGATTTTTCTGTCTCATGAAATTAGTCTTTATTTTATTTGTCAAATCATACCCAATTCTGTTATCAATTGCAACATCAAAATAAAACTATTTAAACATGAAACAAAAATACTTTGAAGTTGTTATGAAAAGATAGCAACACACATGAATACATTGCATAGAACACATCTGTAATGGGTTTTACAGTTGTTTTTGCTACAAGATTGTCTTTTTAATAAATTGACTTGAGATTTTTTATATAGTGATGTTTTTTTTTCTTTTAGTTTATTATCCCCACTGGTAACAGAATATGACAAACAATTGGAGACATTGAGAGAACAGAACCATACATGCAAGGTGACAAGCAATGTGTATATAAAATCTCTACATCTCTGGTCATTGAATCTAGATTCTGAAAGTCTTCTTATATCATTTTTTTAGTAAATAAAGTATAAAGTTCAGCTTTACTGTATACCTACAATGTAGTCGTACTTATATTATAACCTCATTTTTTTTGTTTCCAGAGAGAGTTCTGGGATTTACAGACTAAAGTTGACCATCTTGTTGGTGAAAATAGAAGGTACATGTACCAACATTTTGAAAATCTGTGATGTCCTTTGCAAGCATTTGACCTATTAAATAAGAGCAAGAAAATTATCATAATTTTTTTGTTTAACAAATGTTACATAATTATTGATTTAGAGTCATCAACTTTTGGGATATTTGAAGTAAGAAAATGGGTCTTCATGTTGAAGCTTTATTCCTTAAAAATTAAATTGCATTTTATTTGTCAGAATATTCTAATCTAATTTGAGAAAACCATGAGTACCCATCTTAAAACAATAGGATTTGTTATTGTATGTACCTGAATGAAATTTTGAGGTATGATGTAACAATGACCAATGGCTAAAAAATTTCCATTTTTTTGGGTGTTTGACATGTGTTTTGTGTGAGAAGTACAGTGACCAGACGTTTTCATGTAGGTTTTTCTGAACAGTATAAATTAAAGGCATATGGTGAAAGTCATACGATTCTGGAGATAAGTTTTAATGGCAGCCAAACTTTACTTTTACATGTGTGATTTTTACTGAAACACATTTACATGTGTATATTTTAACCAAGAATGTCTTGTGTTTTTTCAGACTGCATGAAGATTTGCGGTCTTCTGTAGAGAGTAGATTGAGGGAAACCCAACCCCTGAGTGCTAATGAAGTAGATCAACTCAATGAAGAAAATGTACTTCACAATTTACAACAACAAGTGCAGTTAATTACACAGGTATGCTATAATTTCTTAGAGGTAAAATTACAGCAAATTGTTATCTTTAAGTAGTGTTCATGAACTACCCCAAAATTACACAATAATTATTTGTTATTATCTCTGTTTTGAAAATGACATGTAGTATGTAGTGGTAATTCATATACAACTGTATTGTCAATAGCACATAGTGGTTATAAGCTTGTATACGCCCTCATTGGGGGTCATCCCAATTTTGATCAAACTTTGCATGAACATCACATAGCATGTTGTTCTTTCTTGCAAATCATTTAATTTTTTTTTCTACAAATATTTTTGTGATTTGTTTAATGAACCTAGTTGAGTGCAGACATAAGTGGTCTCAGTGAGGACAAGCTCATGGATAATTAATAATATTTTTGGAGACTTTATTCTTGACTTCAGAATTTATAACTGGAGTGCCATTAAAAAGAAGGACATACTCAGCAATTGCAAGGCTTCAATGCAAAATTTGATAAAATTACCTTAGCATGTTGGAATAATATGAAGAAAATCTGTATTTTTTGAAAAGCATCAAGGAAAACTTCTTAAGCAATGGGGCAATTGTCTTTGATGCCTCAGTGAAGTTGTAGCCCTATTTGTACTATTGTATTTTGATTAATATTTAATTTTGTAAGGTATATAAAATAAGTTATATTTCATTTGTATCACTTGTGAATTTATTAGTATGAACATAGATTAGTATTCATACTAGATACTGTTAAATTTGCTTTGTGACTATTGCTTTGGGTAAAACTGCTACAGTAGTTTGAATTTATTTTTATTCATTATTGCACATTGCTTTACTTTGGGATTTGATTCAGTTTTGTACTGTAATTTATTTTAGCTATTTTTGTTGAAAGGAAGAATCAGTGAAAATATCTTTTTTTTCCTATATTTTACATTCAACTTTTCAAAAATCAGTGAAAATAATTTTCATACATAAAAATTTTCAATGAATTATTTGCAGCTGAGATAAAATATTTTACAGTATTTAGTTTGAATATTTTTGTGATTTTGCAAGGAGATACTGTGTACAGAATGGGGAATATTATGATTGGAAATTTACTAGTATATCTGCAATTGTTATTTTGTTTGTAACAAAATGTAGACAAAGGCATTTGGCCTTTCAGGGAGACAGGGGCTATGTAATGCAATTACTTATTGACAGTCATCTTCAGAGCAAAAATATGCCAAAGCAAGTAAGCATATATATATATTAAACTTGGATGCATATTAATTGTATTTTTTAGGAAAGAGATTCTGCAAAGGAAATGTTAGCTTCAAATATTAAAGAACTAGACAAAGTCAGACATGATTTACAGGTAGGAATAATTCATCAATTTGTATTAATAACTTTGAATTCTCCAACTCATCAAATATATTTTTTCACACTGATTTGTGTATGTGTATATTTTATTACATAGGAAGCAAGAAATGAGGCCCAGTTTAAAGCAGCTAATTATCAACTTATACAGGTATGTTACTAGACACACCAGTTACAACCTTGCTACAGTTTTTAGCTCCGCTGTCGACTTTGTCGAGCGGAGCTTATCATATGAGTGATTGTCCATCGTCGTCCGTCGTCGTCGTCCGTGTCAATGTTTTACTTTTTCGACTTCTTCTTGAAAACTACAAGCCTGAATGCTTTGATACTTGGTGTATATGTAGACCTCTTGGGTAGACCTCTCTCAGATTTGTTCATTTCATGATGATATCTTCAATTTTCTAATTTTGGTGAATATTTTTGTCATTTTTAGTAAAAAGTGATATTTTCGACTTCTTGTTGAAAACCGCAAGTGCAATTGCTTTGATATTACATATATAGGTACTACATGTGGACCTCTCTCAGATTTGTTCATTTTGTAATGATATCTTTAATTCTCTAATTTTGGTGAATATTTTTGTCATTTTTGGTAAAAAGTGATATTTTCGACTTCTTGTTGAAAACCGCAAGTCCAATTGCTTTGATATTACATATATAGGTACTACATGTGGACCTCTCTCAGATTTGTTCATTTTGTAATGATATCTTTAATTCTCTAATTTTGGTGAATATTTTTGTAATTTTTGGTAAAAAGTGATATTTTCGACTTCTTGTTGAAAACCGCAAGTCCAATTGCTTTGATATTACATATATAGGTACTACATGTGGACCTCTCTCAGATTTGTTCATTTTGTAATGATATCTTTAATTCTCTAATTTCGGTGAATATTTTTGTAATTTTTGGTAAAAAGTG